ATAATTCATGTTTTTCTACACAATTTTGCTGTTGTCTTCAGAATCGGTTTAAAGTTGGTGTTATTGCTGGGCGCAGTAACTCATGCCTGTAATCCCAGCACTTTGGGAAGCCAAGGCGGGCAGATCACTTGAGGTCAGGAGTTTGAGACCAGCCTGGCCAACATGGTGAAACCCCATCTCTACTAAAAATACAAAAATTAGCCAGGTGTGGTGGTGCGCACCTGTAATCCCAGCTACTCAGGAGGCTGAGTGGGGAGGACTTCTTGAACCTAGATAAAACATTTAGTTTCAAAAAGTGTATAATGTAATATTGTTTATAACAGTGAAAAGATTAAATTAAATTAGTTAATAATTTAAGGGATAAGAAACAATTATCCTAAAATATCTAGAAATTTAACCAGGGAACTATCAGATATACATGTAAATGTATTGGCATAGAAGTGATCACAATGTTGTGTTAGATGCAAAGGAAAGCAGAAAAGGAACCCATGTAAGATTGTAATCCCTTTTACTTTCTAAAATTCTGTCTTCCTATCTACCTATAGTGTAGAAAAAAGTCTGGCAGTTGGCAGTGGTCATCTCTGGGTATCAAGAAAGATAGGTGTTTTAATTATTTATTGTTGTTCATCCGATTCTTAATGATTTTCCTACAAAGATGATGTAAGATGTAAAAAAATGTAAAAAGGCCAGCTGGGCGTGGGTGGCTCACGCCTGTAATCCCAGCACTTTGGGAGGCCGGAGGTGGGTGGGTCACCTGAGGTCAGGAGTTGGAGACCAGCCCTGGCAATTAGGTGAAAAACTCGTCTCTACAAAAATACCAAAAATTAGGCTGGGCATGATGGCAGTTTGCCTGTAATCCCAGCTCCTGGGAGGCCTGAGGTGGGAGAGAATCACTTGAACCCGGGGAGGCGGAGGTTGGCCAGTGAGCTGAGATTGCGCCACTGCACTCAGTCTAAGGCGATATGAGCGAGACTCCACTCTCAAAAAAAAAAAAAAAAGTAAAAAACGCAACATTTCATTTTGTATTCTCCTTCCACCAATCTTCTTCATCATCTTTTTTTTTAAACAAATATTTTACCTTGGAATAATTTTAGAGAAAAGTTGCAGATAGTACAGAGAGTTCCTATATAGCATTTGCCCAGTTTCCCAATTTTTTTTCTTTCTTTTCTGAGAAAGGTTCCCATCTGTTGCCAAGCTGCAGTACAGTGACACATTCATAGCTCACTGCACCCTCCGCTTCTGGCCGCAAATGATCCTCCCACCTCAGCCTCCCAAAGTGTTGGGGGTAACAGGCGTGACCACTTAGTCCAGTCCTTACCATCTTTTGTCAGTATTTTACAGGTATTTCAGTTATGTGTCCATGAGGACACAGTTTCTCCTCTCTGTCAAACTTAATATCACCGATCATTTATCTTCTCTGGTAGGAGAGCACAAAAGCTGAAGGTGTCCTATCTTCTCTCTCTCTTTTTTTTTTTTTCTTAGACGGAGTTTCACTCTTGGCCCAGGCTGGAGTGCAAGCGCAATCTCAGCTCACAGTAACCTTTGCCTCCCAGGTTCAAGCGATTCCCCTGCTCAGCCTTCCGAGTAGCTGGAATTACAGGCATGCACCACCCACACCCAGCTAATTTTGTATTTTTAGTAGAGATGAGGTTTTTCCATGTTGGTCAGGCTGGTATCAAACTTGCAACCTCAGTGGATCCACCTGCCCTCGCTCCCAAAGTGCTAGGATACGGCATGAGCCACCGGTGCCTGGCCCTTTTTTTTTTTTTTTTTTTTTTTTTGAGACGGAGTCTCACTCTGTCGCCCAGGGCTGAGGTTGGCAGTGGCCCGGATCTCAGCTCCTGCAAGCTCCGCCTCCCGGGTTACCGCCATTCTCCTGCCCTAGCCTCCCGAGTAGGCTGGGACTACAGGCGCCCACCACCTCGGCCGGCTAGTTTTTGTATTTTTTAGTAGAGACGGGGTTTCACTGTGTTGGCC